CACCTTCAGAAAAATACTTCTGCCCTTCCAGATCCCAGTATCTGGACTGAGATGCTTCRGGAAGTCAATTAAAATTGACTGCCCCAAGGCCCTGCTTCAATGGGGAAGGAAAACACAGGTAACTCAATGATTAGCTGAATAATAATGGTAGGTGGCAACTCAGGACTTCCCATCTCCAACTCTGAGCGTCCTTCAGTCACACCCCAGAAGGAAGAAGAGTCTGTTGAAAGAAAAGGAAGTAGAGATTTATGACAAGAGAGGCGTTATAAACCATCCCAGTGCTCTCTTTAGGCCACAGGTCTCCAAGCTAAGGGGGAGATGAGGAACTGTAGGGCTGGGCACTGTGTCTGCATGCAAGGAGATCAATGGATATGTCTAGTCCAGCAAATGTGGGGTTAATTAATATAATCCATACCTCCTTCAGCTCTGCTTTAATGAAACAGAGGGTTATATGGCAGACTGCTCCCTGGTACAACAGAAGGAAACAAAACAGAGTTCACACCAAAGCTGGAAGATCTGATGAGGCATTTTGCTCATCACTGCAGATGAGCACAGGCAAAAATCAGATGTGTAGTAAAAGGGGGGAAACTGACAGAAAAGAAGGGGAGGAAAATGAAGCAATGTAAAGGAAAACAAGGAGTAGGGCTGCTCCACCACAAGCAAGTGGTGAAGTGGGCCTGAAGTGTGACGTGTGCTTGTCTGTGTGCAGAATAGGCTGAACCCTGGGGCCGGATTAYGACTTGCATAAATCCCTATGACTTATCCAATGAATGGAGTGGCCTGTGCAGCTGAGCCATTATTACAACTCCCTGTAATTAGCATGGGAACCTATTAATTTTTCCACATTACTGGCAAAAGAGATGAATCCAGGCCCCTCCAACTATGAGGCAAATTCCTATAAAGTACAGCATATTTTCAGAGATTTTTCACCTACAGGGGAGATGCCTTCTAAGGCATTGGAGATCTCTGYTCAGGGGCTTGTGCTGATTTTTCCAGCCAATTCTGGACCTGTTCAAATCCTAGCTACCCATCACAGTAATGCTGAATAGGATGTAGCTCAGAGAGAGCTTCTGTCCTGGGCCTTCCTTCTCCCAGCAGCACTGGAGCCAAGAATGAGTGCAGAGTGTATTTGCTCCTAGACCTAAACAACTGGTACTGGCCAGCAGACTACTGACCAATTATGATGATATTCCCCCAAAATATTGGCTGCAAAGAGCAGCCTCATGGAGCAGTCTGCTGCTGAGTCTCTGTCCAGTATCTCTGGGTGAATGCAGTGCACCCTTGCAGGCATCTCCACAACGCTGGGGAAATYTGTGTGGAAATTCTGAGCAGAAGTGAAGAGTAAAATGTGCTTCACTGGAAAGAGTTCTGRTAGTGAATTCCCTGTCAGAACCCGATGGATTTAAGACCAGACCCAAGAGCACAGCACAGGAGAAGTGTCTGTGAATGAGGCATGGCTTTCACTGGGAGCACCAGGGGAGCAGACCSTGGGTCTAACAGGACAGTGAGGTTTGTCCCACATCCTCCCCACAGCCCAACTGAGCAGGGTTTCTGAGGGAGTGGAGAACTAACCACACCCAAGAGAGTTCCTACCGGGAATACTGATGAGGTCGAACTGACAGGAGGGGAGAGGAGGCCAGCAGGAAAGGAAGAAAGCGGGCGGGGAGGGTGTGACAGGGTGTGACAGCGCTTGTTAAAGCAAGGAGCGTAATTGGGCTGCTCTGCAGACCGAGTGGGCTGAGCCCTGAGGGACAGATCGTATCTCGTACGCAATTCCCATACCTTGCTAAAACCTGCAGCATGGAAAGGGACTTGTGTCCCTACTCTAGAAAAAGGTGATACAGGCACAAAAGTCTGGGTGATACCATCAAACCCAGTTCACCAGCTTTCACCTCTGCAGGCTTCCAATCCAGTTTCCTGCCACAAAACACATCCCAAYGCCTCCTAGCAAAGACAAGGGCTGAAATAAAAAGGTCAAAAGTCACAGCTACAATGTGAATAGTAAGCTGGATGGGGATTTTGTTTGTAAGGYTCTGGGATCATCACAGAAACCGAGTATGCAGACAGTGAAATCTCTTTTTCATTTCTCCTGACAACAATCTCTGCTGACCTGGAAACACATCATCAAACAGAATCCCTGAATAAAGAAGAGAGATGGGTTTTTTTACCTCTTAGATATAAGATGCTTTAGTTGTGAAGAAAATTATTTATCAGACTTCAGCTCCTTGTTTTCCTCAGTTCTTAGCTCTCCTATGAGCATCTCCTGACTGGTGACATTTATCTGGCATGTCATTTCCCTCTGAAGCTCAGCCTGGCACAAGCTCCCTTTGCATTAAATGCTACACAATATAATTCAGCACAAGCAACTTGCTCCTGCAGGAAACCTTTGCCACTTGTTCACTCTTGACTGATATTTGYCAGGTAATTTCTCCCCATAATCCTTCATCTATTGAATGTGTATTAGCTGTCCTTCAGAAGAAATTACTGTCTCAAATTTGAGCTGTTTTAATTGGAAAAAAATAATAGATTTAATGATATTTCTGTGGCCAGGAATACATGAGATAAGCTTACAGACTGAGATTTTCTGTGGGGTTATCTCCAGGGCTCCAAACCTYAGCATCTGAGTAGCTTATTCCATCCCTGTGCCATTGATTCTGTGCTTCCTGACTTTAGTCTACCTGCAATAATCTCTTGACAGCAGAACTGGGAACAGCTTCTTGTCACTACTTAACGATTCTGTCTTAAGGAAGGCACTGGAACTCAGCATAAGGTGAATTTTATGAATAAAATGAATAAAATGAATAAAATGAATAAAATCCCCTCCTGTAATAGTTTTCCTAGATGTGTCCACCCCCGCCTGCTTTTCTATCAAAAAGGAAAGTTCCCAAGTGATTTATCTTTTGCTTTTCAAGCAAAAAGTTGATACATTTTTTCCAGTTGTCAAAAAAAGGAAAAAAGAGTAATTGTCAAGCAACTGTTCTTATTTAACTAGAACAGCAGCAGAAACTGGCTGTTTGATGCTCTGGTTAACATCCTTCTCTATCCCCTTGGGATTCTTRGATAGTCTTTGAACACCTGGATCACAAGAATACACCAAAACAATTATTTTCCAGCAAAATACCTCTCTTGCAAGAGAGAGTTCCTATCATCCACTTCTGAGAGAGACAGACGCCTACTCACATACTCACTGAGACTTGCACTAAAATAAAATTAATCTGCAGAAGGAAAGGGAACTCATCCAAAGATACTGCCCAATCTTCCCCTTTCCTGCAAAGCACAACTAATGGAGCTGCTTGCAGTTCCTAAAATTATTCCTGCTAATCCATTAAGGCAGAGACGTGATCATCCACAGCAAAACCACTCCGAATAAATATAGATTCAAGCTAATAACTGTGTCATATAAAAGAATAAATATTTCCCCATCCTGATTGCTCTCTTGACATCCAACTTATCCGATTTATTGGGGACAGGAAGTAAAACTGATGGGRTGGCGTGGGAGGTCTGCCATTTCCACACTTGGCAAAATCTGGGGTTTTCACAAAGTACAGCGTGTCCTGTCTTGCCTGCTCCAACTGGTTCAAGGAAATTTGGGAAGACTTGGAATATATAACATGCTTAAGAAAGTTTTTTTGCTGACAGGTGGGTTAAAAAATGATACTAACATATCAAGAACGTCCTTTTCCAATAAAGAATTCCTATGCTGCTTTCAGGAAGTGCTTGCTCTGGCTCTCCATCCCTGCCTAAAAAAGGAGGTACACGAAGCTTCCTGGGATTAGGCTGTAAATTCTCTGCAACAAGGGCTATCCTAATTGCATGTCTGATATTTGTCACAATKTGTTCCTTTCTCACACATCACAGAGGAACCAAGAGTTTCTAATCAGAAAATCACACCTGTCACTAACCAGGGCGAACATTCCCAGTCTCCAAAGGCARATCCCTCCCAATCACATCTCACACATGGGATAGCTAAAAACACTGAAAGCCAACTGCTTGTCTCCTCTGCTGCCAGGCACTGTCTCCCCTCCTCCTGCCTCAMTCTCCATGCCCCAAAACCCCAACATTGCCCATGCCAGGCCTTTGCTCCTGCCAGGTCCATGACAGCCCGATATGGCTCATCTGTGGTGGTGGCTCTGCTATCAACAGGTGTTGGAAATCTTCAAGGTCCCTTCCAAGCCAAACCATTSTATGACTCTATGATTTGATTAAACTCCAAACTAACACTGTGAAAGGTAAAAAGGCTTCCAACTGGCTAAACTCCTTGCCTGCTTTACTCTGTAACTTCTTGAATAAATGTGCCCAAGCTGGGACATGCTTTTGATGGTGCTAAGGCCTCACTAATCAGCAGAAGTACCAAGATGGACTCTTCCTGACCCAAGGAGCAAGAGAGAACCTGCTTGTCCAAACTCTCTACCCATCTGACCCCCAACAAAGAGCTGAGCTGCCCAAAGTGCTGCTATTTTTATTAGAAGGAGCTCACACACACCATCAGGTCCCAAGAGCCAAGCAAGTTACCACTCTTCAACTGAACCTTAGCAGCAAGATACTTTAATGTGCACACTTTGCCTGTGGCACACACAAGGTAAAACCTTTCATGTTGATCAATCTCATGTTTGTTACCTCACCTCCATAATCGTACCTGAAGCCTCTGCCCTCACTCCTTTTACTGAGTAAGCTCTCACCCAGATGCCCTCTTCTCCCTCAATTTATCCTGGAAATTTATATTTCTGTCTGCACAGCAGTATCTGAATAAATCTCGATGAGACAGTTCTTTAAAGTTGTTTTCTAATTATAAAGCTAATTTGGAAAAAAAAAAAGCATAAGCAGAAACAACCTCAGAGGAACACACACATTTTATTTACAGCTTGATGCATCCCAGGAAATCTCCACTGGAAACTACACGGAGCCAAATTTGTAAAAGTAACCAAACACATCAAATGAACACATCAGTCACTGAAATGAGAACTAAACTCCACAGACATAAAAACAAACCAGTTACTTACAGTTTTGCTGTGGTTCTGGAGGGAATTTGAGACGGATAATGGCCAAGATTATGAAAACAACCACGGGCCAGGAAATTAAAACAAACGACCATACCTATAAAAGAGCAATGAAAATATATCGGTTACGTTTGTCGCATTGATGTGTCCCAGAGCCTGTCTGGAATGTACAAGCAGTGCCCTAAATGAGTTATAAGGTGCATTGTAAATCACACCTGTCTTGGTATGCATACAATTAAAATCCAAGCATTATCTATTCAGGAAGAAAAACTACCAAAGATTTGAAGAGCAAATAACAAGGCTGAAAGCAGCACAAGGTTTCAGTTTGGCTGATAATTACGGGGGACAGTGTTTACCCAGCTTTGARACACTGCTATGTCACAGTAAAGGCACGCTGAGAAGCACCAACTGAAAGATAAAACAGCTGCAGTGTGAAAGGTTGGTTTCACTTTCAGTGAAATTATGGGTAAATAGGACTTTGATTAAATTATACCCCTAAATTAAAGTATTTGACAAGCCTACAGCACTTTGCCCCCAAAAACTGAGCTGTTCTTCACAACCAGTGGATCCTCATGGTAGAGCTGGAAGGAAGGATTTTCACAGTGGTCATTTATAAGACATGGAGCTCAAGCACAGTAAAGGAAGGGGTTTATGGAATTGTGCWGCCAGCCTACAGATGGCACATCTGAACACTCATCATCGAGATAAGATCCCTTATAAGAGCTTGTGACCCCAAATCCCTGGCACCTTTCCATCTCCAGACTGTAGCAGTCCATACAGATGAGCTRAGATGAATCCCAGAATGATTTTGGTTAAAGGGACCTTAAAGCTGATCCAGTTCCACCCCCTGCCATGRGCAGGGACATCTTTCCCTATCCCAGGTTGCTCCAAGCCCCATCCAACCTGGCCTTGGACACTTCCAGGTATCCWGGGGTAGCCACAGCTTCTCYGGGCAACCTGTGCCAGGGCCACCTTCATAGGGAAAGWTTTTTTCCTAATATCTCATCTAAGATGAAGAGAGATGATGCACAACTGGCCTAGTGTGTTGAAAAGCTCATGAACATTTACAGAACTCCTGTCTCTGACACAAGGGTTGAMCCTTTCAATGGATCAAGAATTAAGAAAATACAGCCTGTTAATTATCTAGAATGGTAACCCAATCTAGGGAGGGGGCACAAAATCTTAAAATACAAATGTTGGAGTTTTGTGAGCTAGGAAATTACAATTATTYCCGTAATACCCTGCTTTTGCACTAGCTGGCTAGCTGGCTCCCATGCTTACTAGATTAAGAGTTTTCCATCCATCAGTAGTTAAGCTCAAACTACTCTGTGCTACAAAATTGCTGTTCTAACTCGGTGCCAATTTTTGCAACTGCAAAGATGTCTTTCTTCAAAATAATCCYGTTTTTCATCGTTGTGGTGCTATTTTTTCCAGATCAGCACGTATTACCCAAAGCTGTTTTTCCAAAGTGATTCCAAGCCCATAACTGTGTTTTCATTTCCCATAACACTGGAACATAAAGACGAACAGACAGACAAACAAATCCTGGAGAGCAATTCCGCTTAAACATGGTTGTTCTACAGCAACTCCGTCCCTACCGTCCCTGATGAGGTAACASAGGCTTGAAAATAGGAGCAAATTCATGCCCCAAAATAGGCAAGTGACAGACATCAAACCACACAGCACCTCCCCACACACCCCTTCAGAGGGTGCTCCTATAATTTCAGCATTCAGCAACATTTTAGCTTTGACAGACAGCACTCTTCCTGCTTTTTATGTACACACTGCCAAATTGTAACAAGATCCATCATTGACACTGACATATTTTAGTAATTTTTTATATCAGATGCTTTCCCTATAATCAGTCCCCAAACACGCAGTTTAACTGTGATTAATTCTCATGCAAACGATGTTATTAATGTGTCCTCCTTGTTTAGCACCACACAGGCTAAAGCAAAAATTATGGGGTAACAGCACAGAAACTGATATTAGTCAGAAGCTGCCTAAAGGAAGGGCCAGACATCTGTCACATTCCTGGGACAATAAATGAATACTGATTGTTCCCACTCAGGAAAATCGTTGTCCCTCCCTATTTTGAGCTACAATGGTGCTTATACTCCCCACTTTCCAGACATCTCTGCCCTCACTATCTCTGTCCTTTGACTTAATTGGATTTAATAGTAGCTGGGCACATCAGTTGCAACATCACAGCATTCCCACTGTCCCAGGCATTTCTAGTGAACAAAAACAAGACAACCACCCTGGCCAAACTGCTTGCAGGTGGAACGTGTTGACTCAAATGAAATCACAACCAATCTCAATCTGGCTCTTGGGACATTAAGAGCTGTGATGCAGGTTGCATAACCCCTTAGTTGCTGGATTATTTCAGCACAAAAAGTTGTTTTAATAGCTCAGAGACTCCTTAAGATCTCTGGGTGARCATTTTCTCTCCCCCTGCTGCCTCYGTTTAAATAGTRAAGTGCAACATGCAAGAGACACCAATATCTCCAGTTCCCTTTGGCACTCAGGCCCAAATTTGCTCCCGAAAAGGTCTGAGTTTATCTCATCACACCCTCTCCAGTCAGAGCAAGCTCCCTAATTTGGAGAAASAGAGGGAAATTAAGGAGGTTTACAAGGCCTGCCATAAAATAGTCAGGACTGGCCAGATTTTTATTTTAATTGACATTTCAGTTCTACAGAGTTGATATTTCAACTCCACRGGAAACCAGAATTACAGCAAGTCAGACTGTGGTCAGCAGCACAGGTAGGGCTTAGCTGGCATTTACTCTGGGTACACAAGAGCTAAAAGAGACTCAAGCCTTCTGCATTTAACGAGGCTGTTACAATTTCTCTTGAGAAATTAGAGGTAATTTATTGGGATTCTTCTGCATCTCAGAAAAAGTGTATTTTGCAGCAGTGAAGAACACTCTAAGGTGCACAGGACATCCACAGGAGTCAGAGGAACTCCRGCACATCTCTGAATCAGGTTCCAAAACCAAGAGATAGGATAGGGTAGGCTGGAGCAGATCTCACAGAAGCACACAGCCTTTCACTTCATCCTCACATCACACCCTCCATGCACATTTGTCTTTGGTCAGCATTTCCTGCGCCTGCCAAGGCTYCTGTTTCACCAAGGCAAGTTCAAACCCCATCATGTTTGGGTTACTAGAGCACAGGTTATGGTTCAGCTCCCTGACCTGCCACGCTTCTGCTGCAAATACCACACACAGCAGTACCAAAATTGGCCTGGGACAAAACTACTCTGCCTGGCCATGCAACCTCCCAAAGGAACATTTRCCTCCCTGATGCTGCTGCAGCTCTGATCACCCTCTGGACATTGCTGCTTTATTCAGGTTCCTCTTTAGGACAGAAAGAGTGAAGTGCTTGATTTGCAGCACAGTGGACTGCACTGGAAATCTGTCCTACCTGAATCTCTCAGAGTTACTTCTTTCTTTGTCCATCCTTTACAAACAGCTCTGTGTAAAGGCACCCCCCATCACCCCCAAATCCCAGGGACTCCTTGGAGGCAATCCCACAGGGTCTGCTCACACGGGAGCAGGTACAGAACTACAGCCTTAACTCAGGTCTGCCCATGAGACTGTGTAGTTTTATTTGCACAGACATTGTCCCAAGGGAACAAGAGTGGGACTCAGTCTGCACCCACCTTCACTTCCCTGCCATTCCCCTTCCATCCCTCTTCCTCTACAAGCACCCTCCCAATCTAACACCAGTGTCCCCCTTGCTCCTCAGCTCCTGGCTTTTCCAGGTTCCCCCTCCTGCACTCCTCCATTCCCACACTCACCAGCTGCCTCTTGACGCTCAGCCAGTTCTTCCAGAGCAGGATCCTGAGGTGCTGAGAGAGCGCAGCCATYCTTGGCTCACCCAACTGAAAGTGAGGGAGCTGCGTGTTCCTCCTCCTCACGTTTAGGAGGCAAAAGTGGAGACTCTAACCCAAAAGGGCACCCAGTGTCCAATATCCAGGCCTCTGTGTTTTCCCCACAGCATAGCTCTGAAGCAGCTACTCCATCCACTTGTGGCTGCTGTACTCCCAGGAACTGTGGCTCTTGTCCTCGCAGCAATAGCTCCTAGCAAATTCAACAGGTTCTTCCTCTCCAGGCGGGCGGGCAGAGGCAGCAGCCTGCCTCCACTTGTGTTAATTACAATACCCAGCCTCTGCTGGATGCTCCCTGTCCAAGCCCTAACCGATAAAATGGATAGCATTCCAAAAAGATGCTTCTGCTTAAACAAAAGGTGATGCATGCCTCCTCCTCCCCATGATGAAACTCCCCGTCTGCCCACACACCGCTTCTGCTGGAGAGGTGTCATCAGCAGCAGAGTTAGGCCACTTGCCAGGCCAGTCTGACTTCCCTGAGTTCACAGGGAATGGCTGGGAAGAGAGCATCCACAGGGACAGCATGCATCTTCCTGCCAGTGCTGATTTGGTGTTAGGTTGGTTTTTCTTTTTAATACTTTGGAAGGTCTCAATTAGATCTATCTATTCAAGTAAATTAAATGAAAGGGATGAAAAATACATATAAATCAAAATTGCATGGACTGATCTAATTGCTCAGCTTCCTGCATATTCCCTTTCCTCCAGGAAATCAGTCCTGAGGTTTCCACTGACTGATTTCCATGTAACACACCAAATCCCCTGGGAATGGATCAGATTTCACCATATTTCAGAGCACTAGTGTGGCTTGAACAATTATTATTCAGCTAATCATTGAATTTTCCAAGCTAGTGATAAAGTATCAAAAAAGAACAGCCAGAGATGAGAGGAAAGAGGAAAGGCAGGTAGAGGAAAGCAATGACAGTACAGGAAACTGCTCATTGCACAAAAGGACCAAGCACAAATCTGAAATGTGGATTTGTCTGATGGGCTCTGGTCAGCTGGAAGAGCTCTGGACCCCCTCAGGTGTCTGGTAACACCGAGATCATCCTCGAAGCACTTGGTAAACCATGGAAGACATCACTGCTCTCAGTATATTCCACAAAAGAGATCCAAAACGATTCCTTTACATGGCATTTATTTCAGCCACAAACTAACCTCGTGCCTCAAAAAATTGAAAACCATCTTGAAGGAGTTCTTGCCAAACTCCACTCAGGGACAGAAATGGAGGTGGACAGGAGTTTTGATCCAAGAGTTGCTGAAAGCRCCAAAAGGAAAAGAGAAAGGGGAAGAGAGAGATGTGGTACTTAGTGAAGAGAAACAGCTTCTCTGGATTGGTGAGGAAGTACTGCAGAGGTGGGAATGGCAACAGATCCAGAGCGGTCCTGCCCCACATACCTTCAGTCTAAATAGACTGAACATTCCAACGATGGGAGTGAAGCTGGAACTAATATTAACCTAAAAGGCTTCCCTGGCATAGTTTTGACAGCCATAGAAAGAAACCTACATGTCTAACCCCCAGCTCTACATTCCCTTTTTTTTTTTTTTCTCTACCAAATATCCTTAGGAGGGAGAGGGATCTCATTTGGGTCTGTGAGCTGAGAACAAGCCCTGCCCCTCGGGACACTGTTCCTGTTYAGCTCCACATGAGAGGCACAGCCGGATTCGCTGCATTTGGTCTAAACRCTATTGGCAAACTTCATTCACTTCCTCTCTGGACTGAAAAAAGAAATCCAAATATAGATAAATCTGCTCTGAGGGGTTAAGAGAGAAGAAATTTATAATTTCACCATTCACTGCCTTGCCAAGGTCTTCTAAGGCAAGTGTCTGATTGCTTCTTTTTGGTATTCAGTCAAACAACTGTTTCAAAAGAGCACTGTGATTTGGATAATAATTTTCCCAAGCAAATGCACATCCTTACTTCCTTTGTGAATTGAGTCAACAAACATTCCCCTTGGGAAGTACCCAAAGGATAATTTGTTTGAGATCACCACTGTAAAATCAGAATAACTCAATGTCAGTTGGCTCTCAGAACACCTGCATTCAAGTCCCCAAACACCACAGCATTCCTGTTCCAGAACACAAGTTGAGGACTTTATCAAACCATTACACTCTTCTGCTTTTTAATTCCTTTACTTAATTCCTGCAGATGGCACAGGAGGCTGTGGACAAAGTGACCAGAGCAGGAACATGTCCCACTGTGCCAATGTGCAAACAGCCAGAGGGGGAAAGGAGGAAAAGGAGAAAAAGGAGGAAAAGGAGGAAAAGGAGGAAAAGGAGGAAAAGGCCAAATACTTCCCCCTCCTAATCCATTCTCAGTTGTTTTATTGCCCTGGTTGAAGAACTGGGGCTCTTCTGGGCTGAAGAGCAAACCCACTAGAGGGGTGCCTCAGATCACTGAGAAGAAAAGCAGCATGTTTCTGTGCCCATGAAACCAAGGAAACTCTCAGGGGAGCTCTGARCAGTGATTTTATCTGATGCAAATGGTTAGAGCCATCTGCAGCAGTGGCTATGGCTCACATCACCCTGCAGGGGCTGAAGCTTCCAGGGCAGGAAGGTTCTCCCCACCCAGCCAGAACACACAAAAACACCTCTCCTTGGGTGCACTTTCAAGTAGAGGAGTTCTTATTTCAGTAGCAATGAACTCACTTGTGCTTCCCAAGTGTRCCCAGCTACCTCTGTGTGAAATGAAAACGGAGAGAAGTGATACAAGATAGAATGAAGTCCATGAGTGAGAGATCTGCAAGAGTGCTGGAAATATTCTTGCAGGAGGACACGTCCTTACAGATCCTGACATGCCAGGGCTGGCAGCTGTGAGTGGCACAGGCATCAGCAAAGGAGGCATCCATGAACAGAGAAAACTGCTGTGGAGGAGCTGCTGCACAGAGTCAACCCAGGGTTGCTGGGGGCTCTCTCCAGCCTTGACACCTCTCCTGGATGAGAAGAAATGGCCACACTKAYYGCTCATGTTTCAAAAAAYGTSTGAATGTGGCATTTGGGGACATGGTTGTGTGGTGARCATGGTRGTGCTGGGTAGGTGGTTGGARTTGATGATCRTTGAGGTCTTTTCCAACCTTACCAATTCCAGGATTTTAACATCCCATGCCCTTGCAGCACTAAGRAAAGTAAAAGTTAAAAGTCTACAGCCAACTTACAGCCCTGCCTGTCTCACAGGGAGAGCAGCAGTTGCCTGAGGACTTGACAGCATTAGGCAACTCTGTGCACAGCCCTAGAAGATGCTGCAATGGTGTTAAACAAACTCAAACATGACTTGAGAAATGGCAAAAAAAAAAAAAAAAGCTTTTGTTGAGCAGCTCATGGCATTYCCCAGGAGAGGCTGCAAACACTGTCTGCTCCTGATTCCTTCCAAGGGCATGGCAGAAGCCTGGAAATGCAAATTCCTACACATTTCCTGGGTGCCTAACTTCAGGCACCTGAACAAGACATGGTTTTTAAAGAGATGCTCACTCAGCTTTTTTTTTTTTTTTTAATCAGAGCACTCAGAAAAACTAAAATGGGCAGCACTATTTTGAGTCACTATGAAACTGCAGGGGATACAGCACCACCATGGTACCACTGCCACCAAACACATTTCCATTATTTATGGTGATTTTTTCTGCCTGTTAAAATGTGTTTGCAAAGCAGCCCCTTCTGGAAGCAGTTTTCCCTCAAGTGGTCTGTCACTGTCATCAATACAAGGATTACATCACACTGCTCCAAAGAGTTCAAGGAGAGCTGTGCTGATGATTTTTRGCTCTAAGTTCTTGGATATTAACTCCTTATTTCTGCAAAGCAGCCTTGTTTCCAGGAATAAGCCCCCAAACCAAGTAGAGATTTGGGGTACTCTGATATCAGAGCAGTTAAGCACGAAAATAAATTTAATTTTAGTCCAAGTCCAAGCTTCCTGCAAATGAATTAGARGCATGACAAGCTGAAACATTTGGGACAGGATTTGCAGAAAAGCTCATAACTGGGGTTTTTCCTCTTATGGAAAAAAACCCAATGCTCTCTCTGCTGGAGCAGATTTAGGGAAGGGCAGGGAAATGCAACTTTTGGGTTTAAAGCCATGGGGCCTCTGTTCAGAAGCRCCCTGTCCCCAGCCAGTCTTTCCCTCTACTCCTTTGCTCCCTAGGTCACCTTCAGCCACATCTGGTCCTAGCAAACCTTTAGGTGTGTGAATCATTTCCCACCACGCCCAGCATGGAGGGCTGCATTTGTGAGGCTCCCACACRCACACCCACCTTGCCACAGGGGTGCCTGCAGGCTTCTCACTCCCCCTTTCCACTGGTTGCAAACTCCTGTGATCACATCAACATGCAACACTGGATCAGGATTAAATGTCAGTCAGAGAAAACTTGTGGGCACAAAATAAGCAGTGAAAGGCAGCAGCTGCTGATAGATCCTGGCAGGCACCAATAATCCAGTTTAGTCTCTCCCTGGTACAGCAGCAGGTCACCAGTAGCCCCCACTCAATTCCACCTTCCTGCTCACCAAATAAGCCCAGCAATGTACAGTTCTTCAGAGTATGCACTGAAGCCACTACCTYGGGGTGCCTTGTGCTCACAGCTATGGGTGGTGCCTGCTTGAATAAAACCCTTTCTCAAAAGCCTTATTCTTGGGGCCAGGGCCCAACTCCCAATCTCCACAAACCCACTGAATCCCAAGGCTGGAGCGAGTGGGTGATGTCATGAGGGTTTCATCAGGGTGTCCTTTAACCCTTCCTTGAGATCATGAACAATGTTAAACCCAGATCTGATGCCAACAAGAGATGGCCACCAGCATCCAAATTCTGACACTTCTCATTTATCACCTTYGTGCATTCAGCTGGTTTCCAATCTGCCAGCAATGCTCCTGTTCCATCACGTGAGCCTGGACAGCTGACAGATGGACTAATCAGGGATCACACTATTCATGGCAAGACTGATAACAAGGTCAAAGCAAGGTCACTGTGAAAAATGGATTTGACTTTGASAAGAACAATTGGTATTTCCAAGTCTAGGCACAGCTTGTGCTTTCCAAACCAAAGTGTTGGCAAAGCTGCCCAAAAAAACTCCAACAAAGCAGCTTCCAAATTAAGAGGCCTAAGAACAGAYTGTAAGGATAAGGAAACAGCAGAAGCAGGATATGCTTGGGACAAGAGCTGTATCATAGGTGGGTTAGCACATGCAATGGATATTTCATATGCATATTTCCAGAAAGATTAAAATTGTAACAAAGTAAAAATTAACTATATTTGCACATCAAAGGAAGTTAAATCCTCAATAATGTGGATTTAGTAAAGAGGTTTTTTTTTTTCTCTATGTTCCATAATGTAGTGGTTTGACCTGATACACCTAATCATGCAAAAAACAGGAAAAAATGTAACAGTATTATTATGGGATCATA